CATACTGCATTGAGAAAAGCATCATTTCCTGAAGTCAATCAGGGGCGGATCCAGCCATTTTTAAAAGGGGGTTCCCAACCCAGGATAAAGGGGGGTTCCAACCATATGTCCCCATTCAACAGTATTGGTCGTCAAAGAAGGGGGGGTTCCAATCCCCTGAACCCCCCTTTAATTCAGCCACTGTGAATGCATGACTACACATGAAAAGTTTGAAAGACGACCAGTTTTAAAAACAAGCAGGTAAGAATTTAAAGAAGGACACTGTTTGTTGTTCTATCCTGTTACAGCCTTTTCGTGTACCTTCTAAAACTATTATTATGTCAGCACCATAACATTAAGTGTGTCTTTATGTCGGCTTATAAAAATCATATGTCATAGGAAACACTTACTTCTATTGTTATAAAGAAGACCAAAAGTACTGCATAATTCTTTTCTGTTACGTTTTGTCATGTTACCTGTTCATTGCAAATTGGTAACATGGTTGAATTTTGCACTTATATTTCTAATTAAATAAAATTCTGTTCATAATATAGCAATAAAGTAATGAACCCCTTAAACAATTTGCCTAACAGTATATACAAGAATAGTGTGTGTTGTTTTTATAAAGATATATGAAAATTTGTTTGAGTAAATAATTGAATCAGTAACAGAAAGAATGTTATAAAGAAAATTTTGCTGATGAAACACAAAGTTAACCTAACATCTGTCAAACAGTTCATTTTACATACATTATCATCATCATATCAAATAATCGTTATCATAATATATTTTGAATGAAAAGACAGGTTTTTGACTTTTGATAACAGAGAAGAATTTTTAAGTAACAGCAGAGAAAATCGTGCTATTCTATTATGGTAGATGGTAACAGAAAGGCATTTATTTTCATATTTTTCATTACCGGCGTATTTTTCATCTAGCAAATAAAACTTTGCTGTTATTTTCCAATTTTGACCAATTTGTATTGATGTTTTTTTTTTTTTTAAACTTAGAAAACAAAGGAATTGTTTTGAAATAAAGCTCTTTCCAGTTATCAACTTTTGTCCTGTTACAGTGGGGTTTTTGGGGGTGTTCGTGTTGCTCAGTTTTTAGTTTTCTATGTTGTGTTTTGTGTACTGTTGTTTGTCTGTTTGTCTTTTTCTTTTTCTTTTTAAACCATGGCGTTGTCGGTTTGTTTTCGACTTGTGAATTTGAGTGTCCCTTTGGTATCTCTCAGTGGGAAATCTAGTGAACAAAAAAAAAGGGAAAATTCACTCTTCTTGTGATAGAGTCGAGAAAGTCCATAATAAAACAATGCCGGTGACGATACTGATCAAAAGTTATTTCTAAATAATAATTGTACATTTTAAAGAAATCATTTGTTAAACTGTGTTATTAGAAATATACATGCAAATACATAATGTTTTATGTTCTGTATTTATCGAGATAATTGTATTAGAAACTTGTGAAACTAAAATTTAAAAAAATGTCAATCTTTGCTGCATATTGATAAAAAAAAAATGGAAAAAATCATGTACATTCAAAATCTAAAGATCTTTTGGGTCACCAATATTCGGAGTGTTCCTCAAAGTCCTTAGCATTTTACAATTTCCCAAAGTATACTTATTTATTCACACCTAAGTTATCGAGCACACCGGTCTGCTCTTGTCAATAGAGAAATATTGTCTTTTCGTGTATATGAAAATTTAAAAGTCTGTCTTTGCAGGTTAAGAAATTAAAGATAACTATTCTTATAAAGCAGGTATCTTTCTACTATTTTTTATACAATTCTAAGAAAAGGTCGTCTCGGTTTTTGTACATGTATTTGCGGTCTTCTCAATCGATTCACATTCAATTTTTACATCGAGATAAGGTCCATTTGAATTTTCTAAGTATCTTAATTTCAAAAGTGCCAATCTTTGCTGCGTATCAACCGATTCCTTTGGAATTTTTTCCCCGACTTTCTCTGATCTAGCTGTATATTTCTAGAGGTGTGCCTGAGACGAAGGTTTTATACATACTCCTATATGTATACAAATATGTGAAAACTGTTGTTTCTTATTTGTGTTTGTAACTATGTATACTGTATTGTTTCTTATATTTGTAAAAATAATACTATAATGATATTATATTATGCTCCTTGTGAGCCCATTTGATGGAAATAAAGCATCTTCATCATCTTCTTCATCTATACGGATAATTAGCATGTTCCAGAGAAGTATATATACAGCCAGTAGAAAAATAAATTGAAGTTGGTACTCCAGAAATTTATTCGCATAGCAACATATTAAACCAATTTTACATCAAGTTTCTATAGCCTGCTGTACTCGTCGTTTGCTACTAAAGGAGGGAAATGATAACATTAAATGGAAGTTTTGTTTTTATTTCAACTTATTTCTATTTTTACTATTTACAAGAAAGTTTTCCCGTGAATCCATAATTGTTAGCGTCCTTGCTAAAATGAGAAGATCTAGTTTTCAGTGTTTACAGCGGAGGTAAAAAATTTTCACTAGATTTCCCACTGCTCTCGCCTCTTTTACAGAAGATTCTGTCATGCTACCGACTATCTTTTACTTTATTTATAAAATCTGTGACACTTATCTATTATAAAAATTCGTAAGGGTTCCGCGGAACCCAGTGTCTCGCCTACTTTTGCTGTTAATCGCAGGCTCAACAAAAATGAGGAAAAAAAATAATAAAAATGTTCCTCTCTATACTATCTTTTGATTGTAAGTAGCTTCTGTCCAAGTTTGGTACAAACCCAGGATAGTTTATGAATCTAATAAATGTTTTAAAAACTTAAACTGCAGACTGTATGTAATGTTAACTGCCATGGAAGAAAAACTAAGTCCATTTATAAGTAAAATACGGAAAAAATGGAACAATATTTTAACAAAATTTCCTTCTAGATACTAGCTTTTAATCATAAACAAGCTTCTGTCCAAGTTTGGTACAAATCCAGGATAGTTTAAGAAAGTTATTAAAATTTCAAAAACTTTAACCACAGAGTGAATATTTGTGGACGCCGCCGACGACGACGACGACGCCGACGGAATGTAGGATCGCTATGTCTCGCTTTTTCGACAAAAGTCGAAGGCTCGACAAAAATGCTGTCAACAATAAAGGTAAATTATTTCTACATGAAACTAATGTAAAAGGTTTTTCTTCCTATAACATAATAGTTTCTAGATGAACCAATCCACAATAAATTAGGCATTTAATTAAATTTAAGGACAATAATAAATTCATTGATATTTGATAAAATATTGCAAAAAGTTCTAGTAAAAGGCAAATAGTATTTTTAATTTATTTCTGATTCACAATATTTTAAAATTAAGTCACTTTGGTAACAGGAAAGAACTGGAACTCTTGGTACCATTTTTAACATTGCCATAGTTACCATGCATATTATTTTTTTTTTAATTACAGACAACAGTTCTTGAATCCTCAATGTTTGTTCTTTGTTTTGTGCTATTGAAATACAGGTTCAAAAGACATTCTTTTTTGTATTTCCCATTGAAATAAAGACATTTTTTGATATTGTCTCATTTACGTTTTTCTTGATTTCATTTCAAGTTGTCGAGCCTGCGAAAGCTCGACATAGGGATAGTGATCTGGCGGCGGCCACAGCGGCGTTAACTAACTACTTAAAAGCTTAATATTTCAGAAGGTAGAAGACTTAGATGCTTCATACTAAAAATGTATATAGATGCCTTATAATATGAAGTTTCCGTCTGTCATATGTCCTTTGTTCTTGGCCTCATTTTCATGGTTCAGTGACTACTTGAAAAAAAGTTAAGATTTTTTGTAATGTTAATTTCTCTCTTATTATGAGTAATAGGATAACTATATTTGGTATGTGCGTATCTTGCACAGTCCTCGTGCCTGTCAAGACAGTTTTCACTTGACCTCGACCTCATTTCATGAATCAATGAACAAGGTTAAATTTTCGTGGTCAAGTCCATATCGCAGATACTAAAAGCAATAGGTCTACTATATGTAGTGTATGGTGTACATGTCCAACTGGCAGGTGTCATCTCACCTTGACCTCAATTTCATGGTTCAGTGGTTAAAGTTAAGTTTTGTGTTTTGGTCTATTTTTCTAATACTGTATGCAATAGGTCAGCTATATTTGGTGTATGGAAATATTTTGTGATGTACATGTGAGTCTGGCAGGTTTTATTTGACCTTGACCTCATTTTCACGGTTCATTACTCAATGTTAAGTTTTTGTGTTTTGGTCTGTTTTTCTTAAGCAATAGGTCAACTATGTTTGGTGTATAGAAGGATTGTAATGTTTATGTCTGTCTGGCAGGTATCATCTGACCTTGACCTCATTTTAATAATTCATTGGTCAATGATAAGTTTTTGAGGTTAAGTTTGTTTCTTAGATATTATATTTGATACGTCAACTATATTTGATCCATGGAATGATTGTAAAGTGTAAATGTCTGTCTGGCAGGCATCTGACCTTGACCTCATATTCATGGTTCATTGGTCAATATAAAGTTTTCATGGTTTGGTCTGTTTCTTGTATACTATAACCAATAGGTCCATACATTTATTTTTAAGTCAACTATATTTATGTATTGAATGATTGTAAGGTGTACATGTATTTCTGGCTTGGTTTATCTGACCTTGACCTCATTTTCTTGGATCATGATAAGTTAATGTGATACTTGTATTAGAACTTTATATTTGGGGCTATCAACATAAAATCAATGGTAGTAAAGCAGGCGAGACATTTCAGCGTGTTCACTCTTGTTTAAAACTTCTTCGTGATACTTCACCTCCTGTAGTAACTTGGATGACATGCGGAGTCAAATGATAAAAAATTTAAGGAACATCCCCTAGTGATGATGCAGACCAAGTTTGGTTTCCATTGGTTTCAGATGAGACAATTTTTTTATAATATGTACGACACCCGACGGCGAACACCACGTAACGTCAAAAGCTTACAGTATTGAGTTATTTAAAATGATATATAAGTAACATTTAAGTACAAAGTAAAACAACATGCATGTATACAATATGAAATTTATTGACCAGAATGGCAGATATTCGACTAGAGTATGCTAATTAACAGAACGCTTATTATAACATAAGTACTTCAATCTTTGCATTCCTCAATATCGTCGTTACACAGTTGATTATTCAAATACTTTTCTGGTTGATCTATAAATTTCTTTATATATATTCCAGCTTTGTCTAAAGATTGGTGGCTTTTCTTCACAAAAAGATTCGTCTGTCTGTTAAAGTATTGTGGCAGATGCTTTTCTTTAATATGCTCAAGAAGGCGTCCCAACATAGAGAGGATCCGTTTCCCTAAGAGACGCCGCCGCCATTGATGCTCCTCTGGATAGCGATCACACTCGAAGAACAGAATATTGGTCAAATGATACGATGTTAGACCGTCAGTCACCTCTTTAGGACACCAAATTAGCTCACGAAGCCGCTTCATTATTCGAAGAGACTTTCTGCGACATGTCCCATCCCTATCAATGTCTTTAAGCAGTTCTCTTTCACATGTGGCAAATGAAAGTTTCCAATATAGAAGGTCTGTCGTCACTAAGTTTATTCCAACTGCAAACAATTGCTGTACTTTTTCAGAGGACGGCCACTTAGCTCCAGGTATGGGCCATCCAAAGTCAGGCTGCCATCTCATCTCAGACTTAAATGGTAGCTGTAACTTCAGTAACGGAGCCATGTCTATGCTTATATCGTCTCCCTCTAGTTGTCTTATGATTATTGTTATAGCTGGAGATTCGTTCAGATTTTGAACAATCACTTGATAACCATGATAACTGAGAGTTCTGGTTTTACTAATGTGGTCAACAGCAGCACAAACTAGAGTTTTAAATTGTCTTTTCACTAGGATTGGAACAATAAAATCGCCTATCGTAACACAGTTTGGTTCTTCATTTAGTCCTTGGGGCTTCCATTTTTGAACCGAAATATTAACAAGTAATGGAAATTTCAATAACATTCTTGGTAGTGGATTATGGGAATGGATAACCTTTTTCAGCTTACTGTCTAAGTCATAGAATGGTTTTTGATGTAAATGTAACCACTGATGTTTCATCCCGGTATCAAATACTACACTGAAGTCAAACTCATCTGCTTCTGACACCTTGGTATACGAATGAAAACTCCCAACGCACTCTTTAGTTATCGAAAATCTCTCGTCTGCACCGTGAACGTATTTTAGAATTTCTTCAACTATACCTTTTACAAACCGGGAATTTCTCCTAGTTTCTGTTATATCCATTTCCACATTTTCTTTGTAAAAGTATTGAAATATTCCGTTTAAATATGCCATATTCAAAACTCGCGGGTCAATATTTGTGTACCTAAATTGGGCGTACTGAATTATACTAAGTAAAACATGTTCGGAGTATTCGTAGTGTATTGTATAAATCGTTGATCTAAGCCTACAAACTCCAATTTCTTCCTTCCAATTTGCTATAGCTGAACAAAAAATCTTATTCCACTGTTACCACGCAATTGCACATGTTAAAATCAAGATAATCATGTCTGCTATGAATGGACATTAGCACAACTTTGTGATGACGGCAGGTGTTGAAAATTGTGAATCGAGCACTGCCCCAATTTATAACTTCCCGAAAGTCAGTCTATATTTAGAATATGAATCATCGTACAATTTTATTTACTGCAAGTCAATGGGATTAGAAAAGTTACAATTTAATTATCGCTGCAAGACAAACCACACAAAACTTAACATAATTTCAATGATTAAGTATATATAAAAGTTAGATTAAAAAAAAGAAACAATTCTGAAAATTTTGCGAAATTCTTTAATCTGACTACATAATATTTGGTAATAAATAGTATGAAACACAAATATAAATTACATACAATATATATTATGTAATAGGAACAATAATCAAGTTAAGCTTGTTGACCATGCTGAGTACATATAAAGTACCATCGATACGTACGCCGTCAAAAAAATTAAAAAAAAAGTGGGAAATGCTCGGCACGTGCCTTAGTATCAGTCCATTAATAGACTTCAGATTATATATGTATAGTTTCCAAATTCATTATAACCGAATTGAAACCGTCTCAGATTCTATTTAATATATTTTGAAACAGAACTACAAATTTACCATAATTAATACAACACTTCACAATACATATGGAATCGTAGTAAAGTAATCGAATTTCATGTGTATTCCTATATGAGGCGCCATTTTACTATTTATTCCTTATTTTCTGATATCATAAAATGGATTTCTTCATATAAAAAAATTATAATTTTCTGATATCAAAATAAATTTAATTCCTGATATCAAGAAATAGTTTTTGACATCATCGATCAATTTTTGATAACAGGAATTCATCTGAAAATAAGGAATAAGTAGTAAATATATTCCTGACTGGACGCCATCTAATTAAACATCGACATGATCCACAAAAACTGTTGGTGAACAAATGTGAACCCGTTATAGTTATAGAAAACAAACAAGTGGACACCCGTTTCAAACCGAAAAGTAAATATCAATATGTTTATGGTTTTTGTAACCAAAGAAGAAACACGTTTTCCAACGAATTGTCGTTAAAACAACGAATAAACATTTCATGCGTCTTGGATAGCATTCATGCATGCATACCTAACACATAACTTTCCCGCAATATTCTACCTAAAAAGTGGGAAAAAACACAAACAGCTCTATACGGTATCAGAATTTTGAACAAATTTTGGACCATTCCAGGGGTCATGACTACTTTTATAGTATATAAACAAATTGACAGTGTTGTTATTGGCATTTTGTCCAAGGTTATGGTTGTCTTTTTGATATTGTTTTACATCTAACCCCCTTGTTTTATTAATTTTGTATTTACATTGTGTCATAGATCAAATTTATTCGTTCAGTGTATGTTCACTTGTTTTGTTATTAATATGTCTTTTGATTGAGTTAAGCCATTTCAATTGATATTTTATAGTGTGTCTTTCTATGTTGTGATGTTATACAATTCTTTGTTGTATGGGATCCTTGCATAGTCTAAACGCCTCAAGGTTATTTTTTTGTAGTTATGTTCGTTTCTCATACTTTAAGCAGAAGTCAACTTTATTTGGTGTATGGCATAATTGTTAGGTATATACATGTGCGTCTGGTAGGTTTCGTCTGACCTTGACATAACTTTCATGGTTCATTGGTCAATGTTAAGTTTTTAGTGGTATATGTCTGTTTCTCAGATACTATTAGTGAAAGCTCAACAATATTTGGTGTATTGAATGATTGTCCATCTTCCGGGCATAGGCCATTTGAGCGAATATAAAAAATGCACATAGGGTCATTTGATCGCCGACCTCATAGGACATTTGAGCGCCGGATTTTAACCTTACCTGGATTTTCAAATGGGATTTTTGAGCACAATTTTCTGTGATACTTTTATATATTAACAAATCTTTTTTAAAGTGAGAAAATATAGTAAGTTTTTGATATAAATATATTTTATTTGATTTTACACCCGATTAATTCAGAAAGTTGGATTAGGTCACAAATACAAAGAGGTATGGATTCAGATATCAGTAAATGGTCGAAAAGAGTGTTTGGTATATTTTTTTAATATCCTAATGTTTTTTTTACAATTATATGAATTTTTAAAATTTGTGCGTTATAAAATCCACATTTTATTAACTATATCTTGCTCGCAACCCTACTTCATATATCCCAGTGCTGAGCAGGGGTAACATATAAAAAAAACTTTTTTCGCTCAAATATCCCATGCTTTATTTATATTTTCGCTCAAATATCCCATGCTTTATTTATATTTTCGCTCAAATGTCCTATACTTGTCAATTGCTGCATCTGGCAGGGTTCAGGTCCGTGTAACACTCATCAATTCAAAGTTTTAAAAAGTTTTCAAATTTTAGATTTTTGGAATTTTTATCAAAGTTTTAAAATATCAAAATTTCAAATTATTTAAAAGTTTTGAAATTTTGAAATTTTCACCAAATAATTAAAATTTTAAAATTCTAAATATCGTTTTTAAATTTGACAGTTTAGATATTTGATAAAACTTTAAAAGTACTAAACTTAACGTGCAGTTTTGATTATTTCGCTTTTTGAAAGTTTGATTTTTTCAATTTTCGATTAACATATCTAAAATAGAAAAGGGGCGAAAAAGAGGGGTACCTGTAAACACGGCTCTGATTATGATCATTCTTAGTTAGGAATAATATCAAATCAGTTTTAATTACAAACTAAATAATTAAAAGAAGAATCCGATTTTTATAAATCATATTAGACATCACAGTATCTGATTGCCTAATATCTGAAAAACTATAATAGATAGGGAGAAACTTTATTTATCAAAATTTATCAACAAAACAAGATCTCTAAATAAGTTCAATGGTAGAAATCGTCAGAAGACTCTTTATTGGAGTAAATGCCCTTTATTGACGATTTTTATCAATTTTTGTGTTTATGCGTAATAACTGAAAAACTATTAAAGATAGACAGAAACTTAAATAGGAAAAAGTGATCAGCAAGACAACTTTATCTACAAATAAGTTCTACAATCTTGAAATCATCTGACGAACCCTTTATTGGAGATATTGCCCTTTGATAATGATTTTTACCTTTTTTGGCGTTTTGGCCTAATATCTAATAAAATGCTTCGCTTAGCGCAGCTGGATACGACCGCAGAGGTCCAACCCTGAACAGTTGGGGCGAAAATGGACACAATATTCGCGCTTGATACAGGTCTGAATTTGGATTGTTATTAAATATTGGACACATAATAGGTTTCTGACACCGAATAACTGTAGTCAAAGAACTTAGAATTGGTTATATGATTTGAATTAATTTATATTCATTTTTTTGCTTTTGTGCAATACACAACAACAAAAAATTACCAACCCCCCCCCCCCCCCCTTTTCGGCTTTTGTGAACTACACTATGCTGTTGGTTATTGACCCCCACCCTTTTTTTGCAAAAAAAAAAATATTTGAAGAAATTTTCTTTTTAATTTCTGAAATCTGAAATGAAAACAAAATGCCCCCCCCCCCCCCCCCCAGTGGAGTTTGCAACCATAATTACCAATTTAAATACATCATAAAAGTCTTAAACAGATAATTTAAAAACAGTGTAAGGGAGGTAATCCAACATTGTACAACATTGTGCAATTTTGTTTTTGGATTACCTCCCTTACACTGCTTTTAAATTGTCCATTAACCAGGAAACCCTTGTTTTTCCCCTTTTTTGCTCCAAATTCCTAAACGGTTTGAGCCATAACCCCCCAAAGCTAATCCTAACCATCCCTTTGTGGTATGGAAACTTGTGGTATAATTTCAGAGAGATCTATACACTTAAACACAAGTTATTGTCTGGAAGTAACAAAAATGCTTATTTTTTGCCCCTAATTCCTTAACTGTAAGTGTTGGTACCATAACCCCCAAAATCAATCCCAACCTTCCTTTTGTGGTATTGAACCTTAGGGTAATATTTCATAGAGATCCATTCACTTAAACTAAAGTTATTGTGCGAAAACCAATGTGTCTTCGAACGACGACGACGCCAACGTCATACCAATATACGACCGCAAAATTTGTTTGCGGTCTTATAAAAAAACTATAATAAATATAGAAACTTAAATTAACAGAAATGATCAGCAAGATTTAATCTACAAGTTCCCCCTATGTTCTATTTTTAGAAGAAGCGGCCATGTTTTTTATGGGTCAAATCCCTGGACACAAATTTTTAAATTAGGGACTTATCATTTTTTACCTGGGAGGGGGGGCTGGTCATTTTGAAATCATACATACAAAATTTCTTGATAACCCCCATTATATTTCACTATTTTTATTTGATCCCCCCGTAAAAACATTTTAAAAAATGTGATCCCCCCTCTATTAAACATGCCAAAATTTTAACATGCGAAACACTTATCATGTTATTTCAAGGAAATATTGAAAATGAAATATTCTCAGTGGATTGAGTCCCAAAACTTATTTGAGGGAAAATTGCCTTGAAATAGGGCACTTCCATAAGGCCTCTTCCATGAATATTAGTAGGTAGAGCAAGCCAGGTCTTTGAGTAGCTTTTTCTGACATTTTTTCTAATTTCCTATATTGGGCTATTAAAGAAAACTTGATTCTGAGTAACTCTGTAAAAAATATACATTAAAAAGTAAACCTTTTGAAACAGTAACAACACATTATTTATATGTCCCTCTCTTGAACGCTGCTTAAACTTAAGTTTTACGTATGTATGGCGCGGAATCAGGGTCATAAATATCGATTTTAGTATATCCTAAAATGATTTTAGAATATCCTAAAATGATTTTAGAATATCCTAAAATGATTATAGTATAT